GTACCCGTGTTTTTTATACGTTACCTTTTATACGTAGAGTAAGAAATTTTAATGAATGTCCGTCCATTTAAATTCTAGTTACAATTTGTGTCATGAAAATTGGTAAAATATCTTTGTTTTCATTGCAATAATTTCTGAACGTATAAAAAATATGCCAGCTTATTTAAACAATGGTAACTGTAACAAAAGTAATTTTAAGTTGAATTAAAACATAGATCATGACACAAAGTATTTGCGAAAGAAGACTAAAAAACCAAGATGTATATCCGTCCAATTTTCTGAGATTTTGTGTAATGACAATTTTATCATTAACTTTTGTATTTTTTATATGTATTTCATATAAATAAAAAAAATGCTTATCTTTACATAAAATATGTGTGAATTTTATGTTCACTGCCAAAATTAAAAATTCAGATCAATTTGTGATCAACTAAAAACATATTTAGTTTTTATTGAATAATTAGTTTTTATTGACAACATTGGATTTTTATTACATGTGTAACGGTTACACAATTATTTAATAAGTAAGTAGATACATTATACAATTTTTTTGCATTCAGTTATAACGTCAGCTTGTAAATAAATCACTGACGACGATTTCCCACGAACTACGAGATATTTGATTTAGGAAATATGAATTTGATTCGATTGCCTGGGCAACTAAAACCTCTGAACTTGTTATTGAAAACATTTCTCTTTCGAACTTTCCCTCCTTAACCAACTAATACCTTCCGCTTATTTTGATCTGGTTTAAATTCGTTTTGCTACTACTATATATAGGGAGGTACCAAGAACAGAATTTTTTTTTTTTTTTTTTTTTTTCTCCCACTTATCGTTTGATTTTCAAAATTCGCTAAACGAGTTCAATCTATCAACGTGAACACACGAATGATTTGAAGAAACTTTGAACGGCACGATCAAACGATGAATAACACTCTTGGAAAGACTTTTGATTATGTTGCAAGTACAATGATGGATCGAAAATTTGAAAAAAAGAAAAAAAAAACGACGTTTTCTCCCGCAATGGTTCGACTTCTCAACTCGCGTTGAAGAACAATTTAATTTCTAATCTTTAGCGTACCTCCTATCGGTATTATGCTATGTTACAATGCGTTTAAAACACGAAGAACTTCCATCGAGTTCCACACAAAGAGAGGTCAAGCATGTTATTATTTAATTACGGTTTAGTAGACGTTTAATAATTAGAAGAAACCATAGAACGTAATACTATCTTATCCTATCGATAGATTCGTTTTTTTCACTTTTTCTTTTTTTTTCTTTCTTTTTTTATGCATAATGATGATATGATGTACACATGTAGTCTAATCTACGATCATTGATACCGATCATCAATACCATCGATCCGTATAGTACGTGCATTCGCTGAATTGTTTTCCTTCTTTCTTTTTTTTTGTTTTTTTTTTTTGTTTTATTTTACACAGAGATACATCGTATATACCCGGTATCATTACCTGAATCAGCTGACTTTACTTTTGCCAAAACTTTTCTCTCGTGTTGTATACATCTAGACTTAAAAACAAATACAATCTTGTATTCGGGAGAGGGGGAAAGGTTTGATTTCTATAGTTTCAATGGAACACCTCGTAGAGACGAGTTCTCATTTGACATTTTCAATTAGTCCCCGTATCTACGAGACGCCTGAGACTTTTGCATTATGTTAATTTGATTTTCATGCTCATTTGGCTTCCGTTATTATTAAGTTTTCCATTCAGAGATAATACGAGACACATATATAACGACTGTATATATCGACGTTTCGTTTTTTTATGCATTATGGTTCACGTCTTGTCGAGAAGAATCATTAATACACATCAGGGGCAGGAAAATGGTAATAATTATTAAATCGTGCTTATTACGT